CGTGGATTCGAACCCACGACCAAAGGTTTACGTAGAGAATTACAATTACATGTTTTAGACTTGTAGCACTGAATACATAGATAAGGCCAACAAGTGCAAATAAGGCTGAGTTTAGAGGTTTTCAAGAACTTCAAAAAAAATCGAATATAAATTATGAGCACGAGAAAATCTTAGATAATAACAGTTCGACCTTATGGCAAAAATATCACCTTTGGTCACGACCTTGTTCATATATTGCTTTGTTCAAAAGTACAAAAATAGGCCTTTTCACTCAGTTTAGCCATACTAATGAATTGATAATCTTGATAATTTCAAAAGTAAAAACTCGCATGTATAAAAAAGTGAAAAGGCTAGTTGAAAACCATCTGAACATTACTGATAAAAGTTAGCTTCTTACAACTCCAACATTTGACACTTCCGGTCAGTCAAACATGTCCAACCTCGTTCTTAACAATGATCAGACGATAATCAATTGGAAACACACCAGGATTAACGGGGGGAGCCTATGAAGACGTATTACAAACAGAGTGATGTAATTGGGTGTGATATTATAGGACTGAGAAAGGGTCAGAAAACTCCAAAACCTCTTTGGATGCAGTTGGATTTGAAATATTCTAAGGTTTCAGTAGAGAATATCACAGATGTACGCTATGCGTCAACAGCCTTGATGTACTGCGGAGTTTTTTTATTGATTTTTTTTACCAAACGTAATTCGCCAGTAATTCGCTATGCCGAGTCACGTCCCTTGGCCAGGCCAGGATCCTGTGATCGTTAGTTCCTTATGATTCTAGGTTTGTCAGGACTATACCCGGGCTTGTAAGTTACATCAAACTCATAACGTCAAAGACCTGCATCACTTAGAACCTTCCTCCCTATTTAGTTGACGCATGCGAAAATGGATGGGTTCCATACCATTGTATTACAACACTTGTCAATAGGGCGTTTTCACGGTACCTCATGTTTGTTGTAAGAGTCGTAGGGACAACAGGTGGTCCAGACGTCTTAGGTGTCGCCATTCGCTGTGCAAAGTTGCACAGGTTCGGCATAGGTTACAAAGGACCTATTTGTTTACCCGGAAGCCCCGCTGGTTCTACATTTGTGGAAGTCATGTGGGTTTTCCTGTTAATGTGTTCATGCAAGTCTACCAAAGACTCAGAACAAATGTCGGTGTAACATTGCCTTGACATGGTCTTGAAAAGATCATTTATATATGTATAATATACCTTTCCTAAAGTGGATAAGATTCACACTAGAGCGACAACAGCACAGTGATATGTACGTGGGCCTTTTATATACGGGGTCACGGGTGGCAAAGTTGTCTAAGGCCCTGGAATTCGCTGTGCAGAGCTGTGTCCCTTGGGCACGCCAGAAACCTATGATTGTGGGTTCGAATCCCGGCTCATCCCGATTATGTTTGTTGGTCTGTCAGAACCATACCCGTGCTCGTGGGTTTCACGAGGATGGTAAACGTCCGAGACATCCATCACATCGAGCTTTCCTCCCACATGAAGCTGACGTTAAATTAAACTCTCAATCACTCACTCACTCAGAAAATGTGGATCAGGTCATCCACAACATGAAACGTAAGGTTTTCGTTTTCCGGAACACGTCTGGATAACTGGATAATTTTCAATGGCGTCGTTTCTTTCTCTGATGTTGCGTTTGAGATTATTTAATGCCCTCACCATGACCGGTAGTGATGTTTCTAATCCGCCTCTATCTGTTACGTAGTCTATCTACATGCAACATGGCGACTATATACTTACGACACAAAGTAGTCACCATTAAACGTATCGTACTGATTTTGGTGTTACTCTTTAACTCACTTACATAAATAAGACAGATGACCCAATGTTAAATTGTCGCGCTTAACAACATGTGTCGTTGTTGTTGTTGTTGTTGTTGCTGTTGTTGTTGTTGTTGTTGTTGAGCGCGACTTCACAACATAACTTACGAGTAACTAGAGCGAGCGACCATAATGACTTTTATGCACTGTATCTACTAATGTATGAAAATTCCGCGTTGCCAATGTATGGATGTGTGAGCTTAAATAAAAACTAATATTTACTGTTACAATATATTCAGATAAGACAAATTGAATGCAACCTTGAAAGAAACATTTGATTGAATTTAAGGTCACAACAATGTAATAATGTCATAATTAAAAGAATATACTTTTCAAATTTAGTATATTTTGATTACTGTTTCATATTTCATAATCTATCTATCTATCTATCTATCTATCTATCTATCTATCTATCTATCTATCTATTTATTCCTAAAACAGGATATTTACCATTCCCAAAGACACAAGAGTGATAACCTCTTTATCATATAATGTCATTCTTCATTTCTGTACTCCAAAATCGCTTTCCATCTCGCACAAACATTACCTAAACATTGCAATGCTTCCATGAATGTGCGCATTAATATATATTACGTCAGAAGGTACGTGATGTGTCAGTCGGACAGTGACAGTAGCCAATATAGTTCCAACAGAAACCTGTTTCTTATACAGTGGCGTAACTACATATATGCAAAACAACAATTGCCTACACAAATTGTTTTACTTGCCTTTCGTGGCAATCCATCGGTCTGTCCGATAGAGTAACTGTCCTTTATCAAAGAGAAGCTACTCTAACCCTAGTCTATGAGACGTCACGGCCACAGTCTGACGTTGTTGACTGTCGGCCTGTCCGGTCATAACGTTACCAAGTGCAGTCAGATGTACACACAGCGATAAATCGAAACAAGGTAACAAATTGAACATATTTCGGCCAAATCCAACTGATTTAATTTGTGGAAAAGGTTCCAAACCGCAGAGGTCTACAAACACAGATATGGATCCCGGAAAGTGATCCCGCTTTGCTAGTGCCCTCGCTAAATTGTTTCGCAATTTATATATCCAAAGTTGCCAAAACTTGTAAAATACCTTAGTTACGTCACAGTTAGACACTGTTTTTCAGTATATTAGACTAATCTTTTCATAATGATAGCAATTATCCCAGCGGTTCTCCAGATTCCCGAGGGATAATTCTGACTCGATCACCGAATGACAAGGGCTACGCCATGTGTGTTTATAAACCGTGAAAGTTTGACCTTATATTTGCATCTCTAGCCGCATATGACCCCAACGGATATCGTTTTCATCCGTTGGCTTTATCCTGCCGAGAAACACACCCATTAGTCTAATACATGCCGACTGAACAAAAACAGTTATGTTTTTAATTTAACCTGAGACTAAATATCTCTTTTTATCTCATCTTGACACATGTATTTTTGTGGCAGACAATGTATTTTTCTGACAATAGTCTGAAGCATAGTATATCAAAAATATCAAATGTTCCGTCCCTATTAAGCCTTTGTTCCTTATAACCGGTATAACCAGCCGCTAAAAACACTTTCCATTAAAAAACAAATGTTGGCAGGGAGAGGAAGTGCGGAAGCTCCATGGAGGCCACACCGTGGGAAAGCATAGCCCATCATGTTGACATATTTAATGTCATATTTGATAAATTCAATAGAATGTCCGTCATGACTGTTAGGCTCGAGTCATTAATAACTGTCATCCATCACGAATATCCTACTTCTTACAATTGACATTGTTATCCAACAGAGACATAGGTCACCATCACAGCAGGCCAAGATTGCTATATTGTAAGATCATGGGCAGTCAACGCAGCTGCCAACATCTACAAACAGCAAGCAGTAGATTACAAACGCTTAAGGAATTAGTGAGTGAGTTGGATTTTATGCCAGAAATATCATGGCGAACTCATGGGGGGAATCGAACCCGGGCATTCGGCCTGACGAACTGTTGCTTTAAACCTCTAGGCTACCCCATGCCCCTCATTTAGGGAAGGTACAGATGGTCACTTGAATCAAATAAAATCACTGCTCAGAGCAGAGTCCATTGTACGAATTATGAATCACTCAAAAAAAAATATGATACCAGGTGTTCGCACAACCTGACACACGTGTTTGCATCCGTCACAAACACATGCAAAGGCAAGATAAGCAAAGAGATATATGGCATAAGTCGCGACTCGCTGTATAATAACACACTGACTAGCTGAGGAAATCCTTTCTCCTATTATTGCGGTCGGGCGGGTAGCCTTGTGGTTAAGACGTTCGCTCGTCACGCCGAACACCCGGGTTCGATTCCCGACATGGGTACAATGTGTGAAGCCCATTTCTAGTGTCCCCCGCCGTGATATAGTTGGAATATAGTTAAATGTGGCGTAAAACCAGACTCACTCACTGTTATTGCACATGGTTGTGGATAGCAACCGTCAAAGAATTAATACATATTATCTAAATGGATACAATTTAAGTCATTTGTGGGGAAGAAGTGTTGATGATATCACCTGATTAACAATTATTATTTTTTAAATATGCCTCGGATACAGGCTTCCCTTTCATTATGAATAATTTGATCAACATTGAGTATACGGTTATTTAACAAGATCATACCCTTAGTGGATTACGAATCAGAATGGCACAGTACAAGGACAAAATAGTTGGGTTCCCGAGCGTCTGGTACCCGCAAACACACGGATAGCAGTCGGGTATCCTGCATTTCGGGTAACTATCCAGTGGTGTCCACCCAGTGACCAGCTGACGGAAATCACCCATTGTCGTGCCGTGTAGGTTCCCAGTGCCCCAAGCCTGTCGGAAGAGCCGACTAAAGTCGGAATGGGGTGGTCAGGCTTTGCGATTTGGCTGGGTCATCTCATCTCCAATGCGTGCTCTCATCCACTGGTGTTCAAGCCAGAGCACAAGTATTTACAAGTATAATGGTATGGGATGGTACTGAGATACCATGAATTAGGCTGAATATGGGATTCAAACCCATCATCATCTGATGCTTGCTCGCCTAAGAGATTCAACTCTTCACAGCGAGGTCCCGTGCCTTCATGGCAACCGGTGCTATTTCCTTTACACGTATACACAAATGGTAAAATAATTAAGACAAGATGAGATTTGTAATAGATGATTTATTTCAACACTATCATAATGCGCCGCTGCAGATATAAAGGGTGACTATTTGCATGCTGCTCGCCTTAATCCCTGCTCTGAAAAAGGAAATAACAAAAGATGAATCAAAGTCATCGTGTCATATACTCACAATGTTTCAATAGGGACAGTCGATATATTTGTGTTAATGTTTGTTCTGGCTCCGAGATCTCACTAAGGATGTTCACGTAGGATATCTTAAGCCCATCCTAGTCATCCACAGAGCCTGTAGGGCAGTTTCATGGGGAAAGTCTTGATGAAGTTTATGCAATAATGTTGTAGCATGAACTATAAAATTGGTTGTATACTTAAATGCTAAAGGCAACCAACAGCGTTAATTACGCTAAACTTCAAGCAAGGTAATCTACCTTGACTATGTTGCAACAGACACCTTTCACTGATATTTCAGCCGTGGTGACGATGACGACGATGACGTCTGTGGCGATGACGACGGCATCTCCGGTGACGATGTGCTCCAGTCATGTCAAATGCCAATAAGGAACCTAGAAGATCAAGAATTCCATTCATTTTAACGAGTTGCCTCCTCATGCTTGCCAGAAATCTAATAGTATTATCTTAGGTTCGAATCACAGTTCGACCTTATGTTTCCAGGCTTGTCAACACCACACGTGTTCGTAGGGTTCACCAAAGACCTGCTTCTCTCCCACATCAAGCTGTGACATACCTTACCGTGACTTCCCATATTTAGGCCCACGCGGAAATACGCTGGTGGACTTAAAAACGGAAAAAAATCGTATTAAAGGCCATGGGCTTAAATTCGGCAATTAATTTGGAGTCATAAAGTTATTCCTTACACCCTTCGAAAGTTAATACGTTGCGATGCACTACACATGGCAAAACTTAATATACATTCAACAATACGTTTTGCATTCTATGAAGTTACTTCCTGTTCAAACGTAAAATCCATGTATTATATTTTCTCCTTTAAAACAACTTTCTTTTAGCAAAGGTCGTCCCCTATTTAGGTAGGAAAGTGTAAGCTTCCGAAATTGAGCCCTCGGCTTAATTTCGTATAAAATATTTTTCAAGTGAGAAAGTGGTTTTTTCCGTATTTAGGCACCGTAAATATTGTTTAAAGCGCAATTAATCCAAACTCGCTCACCCAGCAGCAGCAGAACCATCAAATAAGAAATCTTCATCCTCTTTCTGTAGAAACAATCTGCAAGGTGTATGATGCACAGATAGAATGTGTCAGTCTCAGGGCCTATAATAACTAGATATCATATATATATATACGAAAGTGCTCGGAGGTAAACGTGCGTATACCGTCCTTAACGCCTGCCGATAGTTGATGTTGACAACCACGTTTATTGAACATGTACTCTCCATGTGAGCACCACCACGCTGTGCACCAATGCCCCCGACGGCGTTCAGTGCTTGCTCTACACCATTACACCGACAGCATCATCAACAACCGTCACTATTGTGAGGGTGACACGTCTGTTAAACTTGACGTGATTGTGAGTATCAACAATCAGCAAGAAGTCCGAACATAACAAAATTAAAATGGCATCAATTGAAGTATTTTAATGATGACTTCCGAGTTCACTTGAATATATAAGACCTGTTGTCAGTCTACAGTCAAACATAAACAGGTCTGTCTGAAGTCTGTTAGTCTTCAATCAAAACTTCAACGCTTCTTTCTGTCAGTCATGAAGATCTCTTTTCTGCTGGTGGTGCTTTTGTTGGGTGAGTATAGTTTAAGAAAATTGCTGATTTCGATGTCATCTAGTTTTGTTTCATAAATTATCATTTTAAATTTCAATTCATCTTTTTATGTCATTTTCCGTAGGCTCTTTGTTGGCATTCGATTTGGGTGATGCTCATCGTCATCGCCGATGTCGTCGTCATCGTCACAGACGTCACCGTCGTCATCGACATCATGGTTGAGCTCTGCATAAAGGTCAATTTTCAATTAATGTTTTTACTGTCTCTTTCCACGAAAACTGGGTTCCAATCCGCAATTCACTGTGCAGAGTAACGTCCTCTGGGTCATCACTTTCCCTTCGTATCATGGTCCTACAATCGTTGATTATGAACCTTGTTTTCTCAGCTCCATTCCCTTGACGTTGATTTCACGAAAGCAATAATGTTTTACAGACTCCATCACTTTGCGATTTCGGCCAATATGAAACGGACACTCACTCACTCACTCAGTCACTCAGTCACTCACTCACTCACTCGCTCACTCACTCACTAGCTCACTCACTCACTCACTCACTCACTCACTGGTTAAAGCCCTTTTATGTCTATGTGTAATAGGTGCAAAAGCCTGTCATGTAAATCTTATAAGTTTTCATGATATTAGTCAAGACAAAGTGACTTTCTTTTTTTCAGGTTGACGAGAAAACGTCACTGCTTCGGCTCGATGTGTATTTGACTCAATAAACTCTGTTAGTTCAACGGCTACGTGTCTTGTGTTTTGCCTGTATTTGAACTGAACAAGGGGCAGGGGCTAGTCGTACATCACACACGTACAAGTGACGGTATGATTTATCGCATACCTTTCCATAATAATCGCATACCTTTCCATGAAGATAAATTCCCATTACCATAATAATAAGTACATCTATGCACGGATGCATGTGGGACGTTCATACATTTTTTTGGCAGATGTTAACATTTTATCAACTTAATTATTGATCACAAATGATTATAGGTTTCTATTTTACATTTTAGTATTTGTCACCTTGTTTTGCCATAGTGTAACGTTTAGTTTGGCTATTGCCATTACGGCCAGGATGCCGTACAGTTGGTTGGTTAGTTTGTTGTTTAATGCCACACTCAGCAATATTCCAGCTATATGACATCGGTCTGTAAATAATCGAGTCTGGACCAGACAATCCAGTAGTTGATATCATGAGCATCGATTCACGCAATTGGGATCGATGACATGCATCAACCAAGTCAGCGAGCCTGACTACCCGATCCCGTTAATCGCCTTTTACGACAAGCATAGTCGCCTTTTAAGGTAAGCATGGGTTGCTGAAGACCTATTCTACCCCGGAATCTTCACGGGTCGGATGCCGTACAGCCACAAACATCTGGAAATAACGAGGTGATATATCAGTGACTGGTCTCGTGATAGATTGGCTCGCACGTGCGACTCGCACTATATGACTAATTTGTCTAAAATGTCTTTATCCATAAGGCTAGCGCGCCGTTTCACGGACATCTTGACAGCTAGCGACGATGTTAACACATCCAGAGTTATCCCCCTTACATTACAATCGGCTATCATCGATTAAGTTCGCTAATCTATATTTGACAGGTGTTCAATATCGAGAGTAGAGTATCCATGTAAACATTGCCGCATGGTATCAAAGTGGGCGTGCATTTTAAAATCGGCATTAGTCCGGGCCCCTGCAAGCAGACTCAAGCACTCACTCACGCACACACGAACTCATGCACTAAACTCACTCACGCACTCACTCACTCACTCACTCACTCACTCACTCACTCACTCACTCACTCACTCACTCACGCACACAATTCGCTATATGAGTAAAATGATCTTGTAAGAGACGCTAAACTCCATGTTACCTCACCTGTAAAATATGTATAAAGAAACTCGGTACTTTGCATAGACGATGTTATAGAATGAAGTGCTTATAAAATATAGTAGCTCAACCTGACCCACGTGTTTGCACTCGTCACAAACACATGCAAAGGCAAGATAAGCACAGCGAGAGATATGGCATACGTCGAGACTCGCTGTTTAAAAACGCATTGACAAGCTAATAAATTCCTTTCTCCTTTCATTGTACATGGTTGTGGATAGCAACCGTCAAAGAATTAATACATGCTATCTAAATGGATAAAATTTAAGTCATTTCTGGGGGAAAAGTGTTGATTCTATCAACTGATTATCAATTATTACTTTTTAAATATGCCTCGGATACAGATTTCCCTTTCATTATGAATAATTTGATAAACATTGAGTATACGGTTATTTGACAAGATCATACCCTAAGTGGATTAAGAATCAGAATGGCAAGCACATGGGAAAATAGTTGGGTTCTCGAGGGTCTGGCATGGTATCCGCAAACACACGATACCAGTTGGGTATCCTGCATTTCGGGTAACTATCCAGTGGTGTCCACCCAGTGACCAGCTGACGGAAATCACCCATTGTCGTGCCGTGTAGGTTCCCAGTGCCCCAAGCCTGTCGGAAGAGCCGACTAAAGTCGGAATGGGGTGGTCAGGCTTTGCGATTCGGCTTGGTCATCTCATCTCCATTGCGTGCTCTCATCCACTGGTGTTCAAGCCAGAGCACAAGTCTTTACAAGTATAATGGTATGGGATGGTACTGAGAAACCAAGAATTAAGCTGAATATGGGATTCAAACCCATGATCAAAGAATGCTTGCTCGCCTAAGATATTCACCTCTTCACAGAGAGGTCCTGCGCCTTCATGGCAACCGGTGCTATTTCCTTTACACGTATACACAAATGGTAAAATAATTAAGACAAGATGAGATTATTAATAGATGATTTATTTCAACACTATCATAATGCGCCGCTGGAGATATAAAGGGTGACTATTTGCATGCTGCTTGTCTTAATCCCTGCTCTGAAAAAGGAAAGAACAAAAGATGAATCAAAGTCATCGTGTCATCATTTGCGTTAATGTTTATTCTGGCTCCGAGATCTCACTAAGGAGCCTGTATATCCACAGAGCCTGTAGGGCAGTTTCATGGGGAAAGTCTTGATAAAGTTTATACAATAATGTTGTAGCATGAACTATAAAATTGGTTGGATACTTAAATGCTAAAGGCAACCAACAGCGTTAATTACGCTAAACACTTCAAGCAAGGTAATCTACCTTGACTATGTTGCAACAGACACCTTTCACTGATATTTCAGCCGTGGTGACGATGACGACGATGACGTCTGTGGCGATGACGACGACATCTTCGGTGACGATGTGCTCCAGTCATGTCAAATGCCAATAAGGAACCTAGAAGATCAAGAATTCCATTCATTTTAACGAGTTGCCTCATCATGCTTGCCAGAAATCTAATAGTAATATCTTGGGTTCGAATCACAGTTCGACCTTATGTTTCCAGACTTGTCAACACCACACGTGTTCGTAGGGTTCACCAAAGACCTGCTTCCCTCCCACATCAAGCTGTGATATACCTTACCGTGACTTCCCATATTTAGGCCCGCGCGGAAATACGCTGGTGGACTTAAAAACGGAAACAAAATCGTATTAAAGCCAATGGGCTTAAATTCGGCTATTAATTTGGAGTCATAAAGTTATACCTTACCCCCTTCGAAAGTTTATACGTCGCGATGCACTACACATGGCAAAACTTAATGTACATTCAACAATACGTTTTGCATTCTATGAAGTTACTTCCTGTTCAAACGTAAAATCCATGTATTATATTTTCTCCTTTAAAACAACTTTCTTTTAGCAAAGGTCGTCACCTATTTAGGTAGGAAAGTGTAAGCTTCCGAAATTGAGCCCTAGGCTTAATTTCGAATAAAATATTTTTCAAGTGAGAAAGTGCTTTTTCCGTATTTAGGCACGGTAAATATTGTTCAAAGCGCAATTAATCTAAACTCGCTCACCCAGCAGCAGCAGAACCATCAGATAAGAAATCTTCATCCTCTTTCTGTAGAAACAATCTGCAAGGTGTATGATGCACAGATAGAATGTGTCAGTCTCAGGGCCTATAATAACTAGATATCATATATATACCAAAGTGCTCGGAGGTAAACGTGCGTATACCGTCCATAACGCCTGCCGATAGTTGATGTTGACAACCACGTTTATTGAGCATGTACACTCCATGTGACCACCACCACGCTGTGCACCAATGCCCCCGACGGCGTCCACTGCCTGCTCTACACCATTACACCGACAGCAGCATCAACAACCGTCACTATTGTGAGGGAGACACGTCTGTGAAACTTGACGTGATTGTGAGTATCAACAATCAGCAAGAAGTCCGAACATAACAAAATTAAATTGGCATCAATTGAACTATTTTAATGATGACTTCCGAGTTCACTTGAATATAAAAGACCTGTTGCGAGTCTACAGTCAAACATAAACAGGTCTGTCTGAAGTCCGTTAATCTTCAATCAAAACTTCAACGCTTCTTTCTGTCAGTCATGAAGATCTCTTATCTGCTGGTGGTGCTTTTGTTGGGTGAGTATAGTTTAAGAAAAGTGCTGATTTCGATGTCATCTAGTTTTGTTTCATAAATTAGCATTTTAAATTTCAATTGATCTTTTTATGTTATTTTCCGTAGGCTCTTTGTTGGCATTCGATTTGGGTGATGCTCATCGTCATCGCCGATGTCGTCGTCATCGTCACAGACGTCACCGTCGTCATCGACATCATGGTTGAGCTCTGCATAAAGGTCAATTTTCAATTAATGTTTTTACTGTTTCTTTCCACGAAAACTGGGTTCCAATCCGTAATTCACTGTGCAGAGTAACGTCCTCTGGGTCATCACTTTCCCTCCGTATCATGGTCCTACAATCGTTGATTATGAACCTTGTTTTCTCATCTCCATACCCTCGACGTTGATTTCACGAAAGCAATAATGTTTTATAGACTCCATCACTTTGCGATTTCGGCCAATATGAAACGGACACGAGATACACTCACTCACTCACTCACTAGCTCACTCACGCACCCACCCACTCACTCACTAGCTCACTCAGTCACCCACCCACTCACCCACTCACCCACTCACTCAGAACAGTTACAAACGATGAAACTACATTTTGGCTTTTGGCCTTGGATACGAAATCAATGTAAACTGGTTAAAGCCCTTTTATGTCTATGTGTAATAGGTACAAAAGCCTGTAATGTAAATCTTACAAGTTTTCATGATATTAGTCAAGACAAAGTGACTTTCTATTTTTCAGGTTGACGAGAAAACGTCACTGCTTCGACTCGATGTGTATTTGATTCAATAAACTCTGTTAGTTCAACGGCTACGTGTCTTGTGTTTTGCCTGCAAATGAACTGAACAAGGGGCAGGGGCTAGTCGTACATCACACACGTACAAGTGACGTTATGATTTTTCGCATACCTTTCCATAATGATAAATTCCAATTACCATAATAATAAGTACATCTATGCACGGATGCATGTGGGACGTTCATACATTATTTTGGCAGATGTTAACTTTTCATCAACGTAATTATTGATTACAAATAATTATGCAATACTATTTTACATTTTAGTATTTGTCACCTTGTTTTGCCATAGGGTAACGTTTTGTTTGGCTATTGCCATTACGGCCAGGATGCCGTACAGCCACAAACATCTGGAAATAACGAGGTGATATATCATTTACTGCAGCTGGTCTCGTGATGGATTGGCTCGCACGTGCGACTCGCACTATATGACTAATTTGTCTAAAATGTCTTTATCCATATGGCTAGTGAGCCGTTTCACGGACACCTTGACAGCTAGCGACGATGTTAACACATCCAGAGTTATCCCCCTCACATTACAATCGGCTATCATCGATTAAGTTCGCTAAACTATATTTGACAGGTGTTCAATTTCGAGATTAGAGTATCCATGTAAAATTGCGGTAAGGTATCAAAGTGGGCGAGCACTTTAAAATCGGCATTAGTCCGGGCCATTGCAAACAGACTCAAGCACGCACTCACGCACTCACTCCCTCACTCACTCACTCCCTCACTCACTCACTCACTCATTCACTCACTCACTCACTCCCTCCCTCACTCACTCACTCACTCACTCACTCACTCACGTCGCTATATGAGTAAAATAATCTTGAAAGAGACGCTAAACTCCATGTTACCTCACCTGTTAAATATGTATAAAGAAACACGGTACTTTGCATAGACGATCTTATAGAAAATATAGTGGCACAAACTGACCCACGTGTTTGCACTCATCACAAACACATGCAAGGGCAAAAGAGAGATATGGCATACGTCGAGACTCGCTGTGTTAAAACACATTAACTAGCTAATGAGTTCCTTTCTCCTTTTATTGCACATGGTTGTGGATAGCAAACGTCAAAGAATTAATACATATTATCTAAATGGATAAAATTTAAGTCATTTGTGGGGAAGAAGTGTTGATTATATCACCTGATTATCAATTTTTTTTTTAAATATTCCTCGAATACAGGCTTCCCTTTCATTATGAATTATTTGATCAACATTGAGTACACGGTTATTTGACCAGATCATACCCTAAGTGGATTACGAATCAGAATGGCATGCACACGGAAAAATAGTTGGGTTCCCGAGGGTCTGGCCTCGTATCCGCAAACACATGATAGCAGTCGGGTATCCTGCATTTCGGGTAACTATCCGGTGGTGTCCGCCCAGTGACCAGCTGACGGAAATCACCCATTGCCGTGCCGTGTAGGTTCCCAGTGCCCCAAGCCTGTCGGAAGAGCCGACTAAAGTCGGAATGGGGTGGTCAGGCTTTGCGATTTGGCTTGGTCATCTCATCTCCAATGCGTGCTCTCATCCACTGGTGTTCAAGCCAGAGCACAATTATTTACAAGTATAATGGTATGAGATAGGGTACTGAGAAACTAAGAATTAGGCTGAATATGGGATTCAAACCAATGATAATATAATGCTTGATCGCGTAAGAGATTCTACTCTTTACAGCGAGGTCCCGTGCCTTCATGGCAACCCGTGTTATTTCCTCCACACGTACACACAAATGGTGACAAAATCAAGACAAGATGAGATTTGTAATAGATGATTTATTTCAACACTATCATAATGCGCCCCTGGAGATATAAAGGATGACTATTTGCATGCTGCTCGTCTTAATCCTTGCTCTGAAAATGAAATCACAAAAGATGAATCAAAGTCATCGTGTCATATAATCACAATGTTTCAATAGGGACAGCCGATACATTTGTGTTAATGTTTATTCTGGCTCCGAGATCTCACTAAGGAGCCTGTATATCCACAGAGCCTGTTGGGCTGTTTCATGGGGAAAGTCTTGATAAAGTTTATGCAATAATGTTGTAGCATGAACTATAAAATTGGTCGGATACTTAAATGTTGAAGGCAACCAACAGCGTTAATTACACTAAATACTTCAAGCAAGGTAATCTACCTTGACTATGCTGCAACATACACCTTTCACTGATATTTCAGCCGTGGTGACGATGACGACGATGACGTCTGTGGCGATGACGACGACAACTTCGGTGACGATGTGCTCCAGTCATGTCAAATGCCAATAAGGAACCTAGAAGATCAAGAATTCCATTCATTTTAACGAGTTGCCTCCTCATGCTTGCCAGAAATCTAAATGTATAATCTTGGGTTCGAATCACAGTTCGACCTTATTATGTTTCCAGGCTTGTCAGCACCACACGTGTTCGTAGCATTCACCAAAGACCTGTTCCCTCCCACATCACGCTGTGATATACCTTACCGTGACGTTCAATATTTAGACCCACGCGGAAATACGCTCGTGGACTTAAAAACGGAAAAAAATATCGTATTAAAGCCCATGGGCTTAAATTCGGCTATTAATTTGGAGTCATAAAGTTATACCTTGCCCCCTTCGAAAGTTAATACGTTGCGATGCACTACACATGGCAAACCTCAATGTACATTCAACAATACGTTTTGCATTATATGAAGTTACTTCCTGTTCAAACGTAAAATCCATGTATTATATTTTCTCCTTTAAAACAACTTTCTTTCAGCAAAGGTCGTCTCCTATTTAGGTAAGAAAGTGTAAGCTTCCAAAATTGATCATGAGCCCTCGGCTTAATTTCGAATAAAATATTTTTCAAGTGAGAAAGTGTTATTTTCCGTATTTAGGCACAGTAAATATTGTTCAAAGCGCAATTAATCCAAACTCGCTCACCCAGCAGCAGCAGAACCATCATATAAGAAATCTTCATCCTCTTTCTGTAGAAACAATTTGCAAGGTGTATGATGCACAGATAGAATGTGTCAGTCTCAGGGCCTATAATAACTAGTTATCATATATATACGAAAGTGCTCGGAGGTAAACGTGCGTATACCGTCAGTAACGCCTGCCGATAGTTGATGTTGACAACCACGTTTATTGAGCATGTACACTCCATGTGACCACCACCACGCTGTGCACCAATGCCTCCAACGGCGTCCAGTTCCTTCTCTACACCATTACACCGACAGCAGCATCAACAACCGTCACTATTGTGAGGGAGACACGTCTGTGAAACTTGACGTGATTGTGAGTATCAACAATCAGCAAGAAGTCCGAACATAACAAAATTAAATTGGCATCAATTAAAGTATTTTAATGATGACTTCCGAGTTCACTTGAATATAAAAGACCTGTTGCCAGTCTACAGTCAAATATAAACAGGTCTGTCTGAAATCCTTCGTCGGGCACTTAATGGAAGACCTCGGGCTTCTGCAGATGACAATGACCTGAAAAATAGCGTTACCCTTTATAGTATTTGTCGCCTTCTTTTGCCATTGTGTAACGTTTTGTTTGGCTATTGCCATCACGGCCAGGATGCCGTACAGCCACACACATTTGGAAATAACGAGGTGATATATCAGTGACTGGTCTCGTGATAGATTGGCCCGCATGTGCGACTCGCACTTTATGACTAATTTGTCTAAAATGTCTTTATTCGCATAGCTAGCGAGCCGTTTCACGGACATCTTGACAGCAAGCGACGACGTTAACACATGAAGAGCAATCCCCCTTACATTACAATCGGCTATCATCGATTAAGTTCGCTAAACTATATTTGACAGATGTTCAATTTCGAGAGAAGAGTATCCATGTAAAATTGCGGTATGGTATCAAAGTGGGCGAGCACTTCACAATCGCCATTTGTCCGGGCCACTGCAAGCAGACTCAAGCATGCACTCACGCACTCACGCACTCATGCACTCACGCACTTACACACTCATGCGCTCACTCACTCTCTCACTCACGCACACAACTCGCTATATGAGTAAAATAATCTTGAAAAAGACGCTAAACCCCACTTTACCTCACCTGTAGAATATGTGTAAAAAAACACGGTACTTTGCACAGACGACGTTATAGAATGAAACGCTTATAAAATATAGTGGCTCAAACTGACCCACGTGTTTGCACTCGTCACAAACACATGCAAAGGCAAGATAAGGACAGAGAGATATGGCATACGTCGAGACTCGCTGTGTAAAAACACATTGACAAGCTGAGGAATTCCTTTCTCCTTTTATTGTACATGGTTGTGGATAGCAACCGTCAAAGAATTAATACATATTATCTAAATGAATTAAATTTAAGTCATTTGTGGGGAAGAAGTGTTGATTATATGACCTGATTATCAATTATTATTTTTTAAATATGAATCGGATACAGGCTTCCCTTTCATTATGAATTATTTGATCAACATTGAGTACACGGTTATTTGACAAGATCATACCCTAAGTGGATTACGAATCAGAATGGCAAGCACAGGGAAAGATTGTTGGGTTCCCGAGGGTCTGGTATCTGCAAACACACGATACCAGTCGGGTATCCTGCATTTCGGGTAACTATCCGGTGGTGTCTGCCCAGTGACCAGCTGACGGAAATCACCCATTTTCGTGCCGTGTAGGTTCCCAGTGTCCCAAGCCTTTCGGAAGAGCCGACTAAAGTCGGAATAGGGTGGTCAGGCTTTCCGATTTGGTTGGGTCATCTCATCTCCATTGCGTGCTCTCATCCACTGGTGTTCAAGCCAGAGCACAAATATATACAAGTATAATGGTATGGGATGGTGCTGAGATACCATGAATTAGGCTGAATATGGGATTCAAACCCATCATCATCTGATGCTTGCCCGCCTAAGAGATTCAACTCTTCACAGCGAGGTCCCGCGCCTTCATGGCAACCCGTGTTATTTCCTCTACACGTACACACAAATGGTGAAATGATCAAGACAAGATGAGATGTGTAATAGATGATTTATTTCAACACTATCATAATGCGC